ATATATATATATATAACTTCTCATATTGCCTATCCCCAGGTGACAGGGCCAGACGGGCACGGGGGGGGGGGCAGGACTCACCTTCTGCACCACGTTCTCCTTCTGCATCTGGCTCTGCCGGAGCTTCTTCAGCAGCACCAGGCGCGCCTCCTCCAGGCGCAGCTCCTCCCTCAGAGCCTTTATCATCTGGTGCCTCTCGTCCCCCGTCTTCCCCTGGGACACGCGCGGAAACACGGAGAAGAGCCACTTCAGGATGAGGACTAAGGCCAGGTCTCCCCAGTGGGGGTGCGTGCAGACACTCTGCAGCTTATACAAAAGCCTTTTCACGCATTCACATTTGCTGATTAAATCAGAAATAACGTCTCCCTCTTCCAGGTTCTCCTCAACAATATACTTGTAATATCACATTTCTGTTTTTACGACATCCTTAAAATGTATATCTGGATCGGATCGGCCACAAATGCACACCCAGACTCCAGTTCCATTTTTAAAAAAAAATCTGATTCCCACATTAGCATTAGCATCTCCTAACCCACAGGTCTGTGTCCTAACCATTAAACTGTTATCAGAGTAAATCCCTGTTCAACATCAGTCTGACAACTAAGTAAGTAGAATAATCGGATCGCAAAAAAAGCTGGATCTGGACATCCCTACTCTCCAAAGCTGTGAACGGGCTCCATCTCTGTTAAAGCTGCTCCCCCACCGGCCTTTGCCCTGTCCACACACATCTGTGAAAGCCACAGAAAGAGCCTCGGAGTGAGCCCCGTTGGGAAAAGTCATGAGAGAAAGAATCCACCACCGTGAGTTAAGCATGGCTCTGTGGATGGAAGGTGCTGGAAACTACCTTTTTTTTTTTTTTTTTACCATGACAAGCTTCTCCAGAGGAGGGTTTCACAGCACTATAATAACAACGTCAGATTTGTTATTAAGTTGAGGAAAACGAGGCGTTCGGTGCACCTGTGCACTTCCATAGCAGATTATAGCACCACTACAAAGCTCAGCCATCCTATAATTACAGCAGAGCTCCACTTGGCCAGATGGGCTCATAAGAGACTGGAACACCTCCCCTGCTCCTCCGACTGGGTTAACAGGAGCAGGTCCTCCTTTGTTATGAATCTTAACACCAATACAGAAACTCAAACTGAGCCACCGACCTGCTGGGATATGAATCAGAGGGTAAAAATACCCCTCCGCTTCTCCAGGCATACATGGAGCTGTTCGAGTTGGTGACGCCTTTATAAATACTAGCAATCCCTTCTTCCTAAAAGGGCCGCGAGCCTGTCCCACAGAGACACACAACCACACACTCAGTCCCTCCACTGTTTGAGGAGCCTAACACACGTTTATGGAGCCAGAGTCCTCAGACAGAACTATATTCGATATCAGGATCGGATGCCGATATTTGCATAACAACTGCGTATCGGCCGGCAAGGAGAAAATGCAGATCCAGTTTTTTTTTTAAGTCCGATCCCACACGAGCATTAGCATTAGCATCTGTAACCCACAGGTCTGTGTCCTAACCATTAAGTTAATATCACAGTAAATCCCTGTTCAACATGAGTCTGACGACTAAGTAAGTAGGCTAAATAACTTTAAAATAACTACTAAAGGCCGTTTAACCAAACTTATCTGTGTGGCTGCTGCACTCTACGTCTAAACAACCGAAATACTAACTAATCCTATGAGGTCCCTGAGTCTCTGAGCATTGTTGTGGGGACTGAACTGGACTGCATCACGTCAGTATCAGATAAAAGGACCATGAACAAGCTACTCAACATCATGGACAACGACTGTCTCAGGAAGTCATTTGTACCTAGGGCCATACTACTGTACAACGCTTCACTGAAGGGCAAAGGGGAAGTGCAAACTTCACCTCCACACTCCTTATAGTCACACACAGACTGATGGAACTGTACCCTGTCTGACTCTACTGGCTACACTAGCCAACATGCACTTTTAACATGCATGTTTTAGTAATGTTGATTTGATAGTTGTGTTATTTTAGTGTTCTAGTGATTTTGTAAGATACTGTGTGAACTGTAGTGTACGTTGTTTGTAATGTCTTAAGCTGCTGGGACCTTGAATTTCCCCCTTGGGGATCAATAAAGTATCTATCTATCTATCTATCTATCTATCTATCTATCTATCTATCTATCTATCTATATATCTATCTATCTATCTATCTATCTATCTATCTATCTATCTATCTATCTCCCCCTCAGCATGGGGAGAAGCCCTCTGGCCACAGCCCAGCCCCTTTACAGCGGTCTCCCTCCCAACAGGAGGTGTGGGCCGGACCTTGAACATGTCCAGGTTGGCCTGGTGCATGCGCTCCTCGGGCCGGGGGGTCGTCCTGGGGCTGGAGGCCTCGTTGTCGGACAGGATGATGACATCTGGAGAGGGAGTCTGTCTGTCATGGTCGGCCTCGCTGCGTTCAGGACAAAGAAAAAACACGTATCAGCATTAAAGCTAAAGGCGGAGGGCCGCAGCGTAGCCTAATGGCTAGAGCGGGCGGCCCATATGCGGAGCCTCCGCTTGCAAGCGGGTGTCCTGGGTTCGATTCCAGCCCATGGCCCTTTCCCGCAGGTCTCCCCCCTCTCTATCTCTGCCCCCCTTCCTGTCAAGCTACTGTCATTAAAGGCCACTAGAGCCAAAA